TCCCTTTCATCCCCAACTCATATTTTTAAAGAGTCAGTTCCAAAACTCCAGCATTAACATTGCCAGGCATCCCTTCCATTTTGGGCAAGGGCTTGGAGAGGAATGGTATCTAGGAAGGGGGAAAGCTATAATCTGTTTCTAATTTGGACATCCCCCTGTTCCCTGTCAGTCTAAAAGGTGCCTTATCAGACCCTCACCTTCTCAGACAGCCAGTCCCAGCCTCTGGAAGCTGTCACAGCATCCCTCCTCCTCCTTCTGGCACCTCTGCCTGGTTTGGTACATGGTGCTATCTGATAATAGCCAGCTGTAGTCCCCAAGTGGCTGCTCGGACGCAGAGCTGGTGGCTAGATGTTGGTGCCTAGGACTTGCTCTCCCTAATGAATCTATGTGAGACCTCAGCTCTTCCCACCCTCCCAGCCTGCTGTAGCACATTTCCAGGATGGGAGCTCTGTTATCTAATGGTTCTTGAAGGACCTATTTTCTGAAGTGTTTTGTATGTCGCCCGGGCCGAGCCCATCTGTTAGGGCATTCTGGGAAGGTGCTTCTTTGGCTACTTAGATCAAATTAACTCCATGGCTGGTGAGGTGTGCGATGTATGGCTCTTGGCTTGGAGTCCAGCTGACCATTGGGATCAGGCCAAGGGGCTGGGCTGCAAAGTGCTGGCCTGGGCGGCAAAAGACCTGAAGTCTGGCTCTCCCTGTGGCTAGGTATCTTCAGGTTGTGGTACCATCAGCTGTATGCTTAGACTTGCCTGAATGACTGTGCCTTTCTGGTATTGGCAAGTATATGACATTGTGGTTACAAGCAAAGGCTTTGGGACCAGAAAGACCCAGTTCAAATTGCTGGTCCTACTTGTGTGATTAGGTTCTATGCTTAGCCCCTGAGTCTCAGATTCCTCATCAGTAAAAGAGCATTCACCTTAGTTATGGTTGGGAGGATGAAATTAAACCAGATAGAGTATATAAAGTGCCAGGCACAGTGCAGCTCTCTCTTAAGTAATAAGCTCTCACTTAAGTGGTTGCCCTGGTGTTGGAATAAAAACCTTTTTTCTCCTCTCTTCTCTACAATCCCTGACACACATAGACTCCTTCTCACCCTCCCTTACTCAGACCAAGATCCAGGGTGTTACCTAGTGGTTACCACTGAATGTCAGCCATGGACAGATGAACAAAAGAGGCTTTTCAGCTGGACCTCAATTACTGTGGAATTGTATAGAAGAAGACCTCATGTGAAGTTTTGCTTGGGGTCCCAGAATGATAGCTGAAGCACCCAAGCTTCCCAAGGTCAAGGCTTTGGCCATGTCTGCCTGCCTGTGGCCAACAGGCTTTGGTTTCGAATTTAGGTTCTACTACATTTTGACCATATAATGTTGGGCAGATAGTTTACCTCCCTGAGCCTGTTTCTTCATCTGTAAAATCTCTAAAGTGATAGAAATCGCATCGAAGAGGTAGATACTTAGCACAGTTCTTTTCATTCCCTGACTCCAGACTCCTACCTGCATGGGGATCTCCCTGCAAAAGATTTTAAACTTTTTTCTTTTTGTTAAAGAAATAAAACATGTTTGTTGTTAAACATACAAAAAACAAGAACAGTTGTATAAAAACACTAAAAAGTGAGGGTGGCCAAGCCTTGTCCCCAGAAGTGCCCATTGTCAGTGAGGGCCCTTCCAGGTCTGTGCTGATGCATGTGAAAGCATATAGACATTTTTACAAAAATGGTATCATACCTTACACATTGTTCTACATTCTGCTTTTCTCTCTGCTTTTCTCACACATTCTTTATTCCTCTGTGACAGCTATATAGTATTGTGTGGATAACCATAATTTATTCTGTCAGTCCAAAGGGCATGGTATTAACTGATCTTCCTTCTGTTTCTCTAGGGGTCCCAGCAGGATGAAGCCGTTTAAATATAACCATCCTCAAGGATTCTTCAGCCATCGCTGACCTCCTGCTTGGCCTGGTATTTTCCCCTAGGCCCAAAGTGCTGCGCCTCTGCCTTCTCCTCTGGTCCACATGTGGCTCTTTTTAGTCTCCAAAGATAGGTTTTTTTTATTTCTAACCTATTAAAGTGTCACCTGACCAAGTGGCCTTTGTCTTGTGGCTCCTTTGGGAGGAAGGGTGGCTTTGCAACCTGAAAGTGTAGGTGAGAGCCACAGCATCGTGTGAAAGAGCATTTGTGAATAATCTTTCTCTAGGTGGCTAAGAAAAGCAGAGTGTAAATGATTCTGATTCTACAGAGACATGTTGCCCTCTTGTCCACACTCACCTTACTTGTTTCTTCTTTGGGAGGTCCTCATTATCTTGGTACTTATTATCCTAAGTCCCTACTGTTAGGAGGTGGCAGGGGAAGCTGAAATCAGCATAGCACAAAAGCAAAAGCTCTTTTTTCCTCTCCTTTCCCTCTTTTCTATTAGTTCTGTCGGTGTCTCTGATAGCCAGATTCTCTGATCATTGGGCGTCATGAATGTCTGACAGTACAATGCAAATAGAAGACAAATACATCACAAAGAATAATTGTAATTCTTGCAGGATTTCATTAAGTCAATAAGAGTGATTTTGGAGAATCACATGCAGAGCTACCACCCAGTTAGGCTCTGGCAGAGTGAGACCAGGTGACAACTGAGAATCTGCATGGTGATGACAGGATAAGTGCCTCCAAAAATAATGGTTTGACTTTCAAAGAATTAAGAGATGTCTTGGGAAATAGATTAACACCCTCTAAAGTGTTTGGAGAATTACCACTTTTGGAATCCTGCAAAACTCAAAGCAAAGGATGGCATAAGTGTTCTTGGACAGTTTTGTCAGAAAAATTATACCCCCCACAAATCAATATTCAATTCATTTTTCATTCATTTTAAGAAATAAGATATAAAGATGTAAAAATATGTAAGAATTATTATATAGTGGCAAGTATAATCTAAAGTTTGCTAACTGCAATATGAAATGAGTTTTTTCCAGCTTTATTGAGTTATAATTGACATATAACGTGTAAGTTTAAGGTGTACAGCATAATTATTTGATACACTATGTATTGCACAATGATTATCACAATAAAGTTTGCTAACACATCATTTTACATAGGTACTTTTTTGTGTGGTAAGAACTGATAAGATTTACTCTTTGAGCAACTTTTAATATATGTAAATTTTATTTTGTGACAATTCTAATCAAGTGGATTTTTTCTCTCATAACATACTTTGAAGTTTGGTCCCCAGTATATGTATATTTATTCTAAATGGACATTTATTGATTATCTTTGCATAACATTGACCTCTGGTATTTAAAAGCTGTTTCTTCCTGTCTTCTCAGCTGACCACTGAGCACCCAGTGACAAGGAATTTCTGAGGAAGAACTAGGAGACTCTTAGTGCTGCCAGGGCCCTTCATTTTCCAGATGAAAGCCTGAGCCCAGGGAGGAGAGAAAGTCACCTCTGGAGATGCTTAAATGAACACCACTATCTGTACTTCTCCTTCCCCACATCCAACATCATACCTTTGAATTCTAGAGGTAGATACACTCCAGTCCAGAGGTCCTCGAACTTTCAGTGTGTGTGAGTCACCCATCCTGGAAGCCAACTAGAAACAGATTCCCATGTGTCCCACTCTAATATTCGGACTCAGTTGACCTAAGATGGGCCGAAGAAGTGTATTTTTAACAAGTTCCCCAGGTGCACGTTGCCCTAGTCTCTTTTTGGAAGTTGCTGTAGTTTCTTCCCTTGCCTCATTTTTCATGATGACTCTCAAATAATGGAGGAGGGCCAAATTCTCTGTGAGCAGCTCCTCCTCTTCTGTCTTCTGCACTTGGCCAGCAGAGTGAACCTCTGGGCACTTCTTTCTCTCCACAGAGTGAGATCTTGTCTTTCCCTGACCTACTTGCCTGGGACTTTGTCCCTGCCAGCATCCCCTTGGTCTGGCCACCTTCAGGCCTTGCATCTTACTGCCTGTACTGAATAAGATTGAAACTAAAAATAGTTCCTTAAATGGCCCCTGCATTGCAGTCTCTGCTCTGTTCTTGGCTGGAAGGCAGCCAAACTGACTAAGCACAAAAACTTGTCTCTGTTAGCCAGGACAAGGTTGCAAACAGCATGTGAGGGCTGGGAGGACGCTCTGCTTTCCTAGGTAGAGATGCCTGTCATCCTCTAGAAGAGACTTTTCTTCTTCAGAGAAGGCTGAATGAAAGAATCCGTTGGCCCTAAGGAGAGGGTTTTAAAACTCGTGAGAAGCTCAAGACAATCCAGCCCCTTTGAGCTACTTAACTGAGCCATGTGTCTAGGGTGAGCAGACTAGGAGAAGGGGCCTGGCTTGCTTCCTCCTCAGTCAGAATTGGCCTTGCCTTCTCTGGGACACATCCTAAATTACAAGGCCTTTCTGTCATCCCCCCGACACCTGGGACTCAGCCCAGGTTCCTTGCCTTTTTAAAGCTACCATCCATATTCCTGATTTCTTCCAGTGTCTCCTTTATTTTCTTCCTAGCTTACCCCTTTTTAACTGTTTTCTCTACAAGTAAATCCAAAGACCCTTTTTGTTTTTTTTTTTTCCTGCTGATCACTCTGGGGAAATAAAGCTGAAAATCCTTTTCATGGGAAGGAGCAGAGCTGCCAGACTTCCAAAGGGATTTTCTCCCTGTCCGTGGAGCCCCAGCTTCATCCTTTCCATGGTGCTCAGCAGCCTCTCTGATGAGAGCAGGTGTTAAGCATCTATTTTGGGTCAGCCTCTGTGCTAATCTCAATTTTACATTCACTGTCCTATTTCATGACAACAGGCCCTTTGTTTTCACGGATGAGGAACCTGAGGCTCAGAGGGTTAGATGACTTGTCTGTGCTGACATGGTTCTCAAGCTGCATACCCAGGGTGCGAGCCCAGAGCTCTGTCTGCCTTCAAGACTTTTCCTTTTCACAAGAGTAGCTTCAGGCTCAACACAGCTTCAGTCTGGCACTCTTACTGGGCCATTTATTCATTTCAGCAATGCATGGACACCAAGAGTACTGTGGTGGTCAGGAGTTACAGCTTAGCATCAGACTGACCCAACTGGGTCCTTGTTCCACCCCTGAGCATCTGTGTGACCCTGGGCAGGTTGCTTGACTCACCCTAAGCCTCAAGGGTCCTCATCTACAACTGGAGAGAAATAATAGAACCTTCCTCACACAGTAGTTATGGGGGTTAAGATCAAATTCTCTTGGCACCATGCCCAGTACCTAGCACTGCTCAGCAAAGGGGAGAGATTCTTATCTCTGCCTTCCAGGTTTCAGCCTGGAGAAGGGGCCTCTTGAGCGAAAGTGTCTCATTACCCTACTGGAGGGTTTCTAGGCTCTGGAAGCCCAGCTCTCTGGCCCCATCCCTTTTTACCAGCAGCATATCCACCAGTCAGTGGCTAAACTGGGCTCTGACCTCAGCTGGAGCCAGGCTGTCATTACCCATCACTTATACTAGGCCAAATGTAGCTCTTTAGCCATACATTTTTTTCCCTGCTGTCTGTGGGCCTGTGTCCCAGACCCCACCAGAGGATCACCTCAATTTCCTGGGCTCTCACTACATTCTGTCCTAAATTGGCTTTCTCTCCGCTGCAGATGACCTAAGGTGGGAGAGGAAACCTCAGCACTCCCCACTGGAGCTGGTGAAGGACCCTCAGGGTATATTTGTGGTATGAGTAAATGGATGGGGGTCCCAAAATATTTCAAAGATGGACCCAGTCTAACACATTGAAATGTGAAGTCCTACATAAAGGACCTAAAACCAACCACTTACCCACGCACTGGGATATAACAGCAGTTTGAGTGAAAATATGTGGTAGTTTTAGTGAGCAACTGGTTAAAAATGCCTACTGGGTCACCAGCCCTGGCAATGCAGAGAACTTTTCTTATCCCATAGGATCAAATTCCACAGGACCAGTATAATATTAATTTTCTAGTATCTAGAATAACTATTTCATGGACTGGGTCTTTTATATTTTTCAATTTTATGTATATTTATTTGTTTTCTTACTAAAATTAGATCATAGTCTACAAATTTATTTTTAATTTAATGTTTAGAATAGGTAATGCATTCACAAGGTTCAAAAGCCAGAAAGCATAAGAAGTAAAAGCACAGTGAAAGATTGCACTGCCCGTCTTATCCCCAACCTGCCTTGTTCCCGTCTCTCTCACAGTGGGAAACCAAGTTGCTTAGTTTCTTTTGTAACCTTTTTAATTCTTTAAGCAAACACAAACAAATTATTTTTCATTTTTGCACACTCATACTATATACATTGTTTTGCATCTTGATCTTTTTTTATATCTTGGGCATTTTTCCATATCAGTACAGAGATATGAAGAGCTTCCTCTTTTTTTATAGCTGCATAGTATTCCATTAAACGGATTTAATTTTTTAGTCTTATTAATGTATATTTAGTTACCAATCTTTGCTTTAATGAATAACCTGTGCACAGGGTCATTTCACACATACACTAGACATCTGTAGGTTAAATTTTCAAAAGTAGAAACATCAAAGTAAAGGATATACAAATTCACAATTTTGAAGGATACTTTCCAATTCTCCATGAGGTTTGTACCAGCTTATGTTCCCACCAGAAATGTGTAAGAGTACAAGTTTTTCCACAGCCTCACCAAAATATATAGTCATACTTTTGGATTTTTACTGATACAATAACGGAAAAATTGCATTTCAGTATAGTTTGGTATTTTTTCTTTAAGCAAAAGAATTTATTGACCCAGGTAATTAAGAAGTCCAAAAGAAGACAACTTCAAGCATGGCTTGATTCAGCAACTGTCATTAGGACTTAAACCCTGGCAATAATTTCAAGGTGCTTTCTTCTCTGCTGTTGTTCATTCTCAGGGTGGTCTTTGGCAGAGTTTTTCTACACCAATAGCTCCTACAATTATTAGAATTGGCTCTCATTGAATAGGCTTGCATTATATGTGAATCTCTGAACTAATCACAGAGGCTGGGGGATAACATATGGTTGGCAATACCCTTAGAACGTGTGTATCTCTGGGTCCTGGGTACATGGGATACGCATGGCCTATATTAGGTTTCTATGGCTGCTGTGACAAATTATCACAAACTAGGTGACTTAAAACAACACATATTTAATCTCTTACTATTCTGGACGCTGGAAGTCTGAAGTCAATTTCTCTGGGCTAAAGTCAAGATTTTGGCAGGGCTGGTTCCTTTTGGAGGGTTTAGGAGAAAATCTATTTCTTTGCTTTTTCCAGCTTCTGAAGCTAGCCTTCTGTTTTCTTTAGCTTGTAGTTCCTTCCTCCATCTTCAAAATGCATCGATCTAATCTCTGCTTCTGTCTTCATATCACCTTCTCCTCTGACTCCTGTTTCCTCTAATAAGGAGCCTTGTGATGACATGGGCCCATCCAGCTAGTCCAGGATAATCTCATCTCAAAATCCTTGACTTAATCACATCTGCAAAGTCCCAGATGCCATATACAGTAACATTCACATGTTCCAGGGATTAGGACATAGACATCTTTGGGGGACCATTATTCATCCTATTACATGGCTTAAGAGTGGGGAGGTGTGATTTCTCTTTTTATCAGAAAAAGAATGGAAGCTAGAAAGCCAATAGAGACTCACTAGAATGGGACATATAACAAATTTTATTATGTAACCAATTTTGTTTTACTCTAATATTAATTTTCCTGCTAGACTGCAGACTCCAGAAAAGGCAGAACAAACTCTGTTTTACTCACTTCTGCATCCCCATGTCCTTGTACAAGGTTTGTACACAAAAGGAGAGCAATAAATATTTCTAGAATGAATGAATACATAAAGCTTATTGTCTGTTAAGAGAAGGTTAAGGTAAAATGTTTAATCAGTAACTCAGATTTGGGATAGCAAGAAAGGCAGAAAATTACTTTTACAATTATTAAAATACTATATAAGGCTGACATTTTTATGTGACTGTTAAAGAATCTCTAGGCTTTAGCAAAAACCATTAACAGCAACAAAAACACCTCCTTTCTCGTATATCTCTTGTCTTGATATTACAAACTGCAGGATAGAGTATTCCCAGAAAGAAGCCAGACACAAAAAGTCACAAATTATAAGATTCCATTTTTATGTAATGT